GTGTCCAGCACATTTTATGGAGGACTGTTTCCTGATCCTGGTAGAGTAGACTACAATGCCTGCTGTTCTGACTCACAGACTGTAAGTACGTTTTTTATATTTAAAGAATTTGCAACTGATGATTCAAACGCGAGTTTTGAGCATTGTAGCGTAGCGCATGTTGTTTATCGTTTGTCCGATCACAAATGCAGACATGGTTTTATGTTTACGCGGCGCGATGCAACGCAATGCGCAATGCGTAGAAAATAATGTGTTTTTTTAACCTTAAACCGCATAAACACATTTCACCAAATACACAAAATAATGTTCTTTTTAGCAACATCATATGACCCCTTTAATGCGCCCCGGCTCTGAAATATGAGTGGAATTGGGAGGCACCCCTGGACTGTCTCACTCCTTTCCCTCAGAGAACCAAAGTTACACTGGGTAACCAGACATTTTCTTTTGGTTAAGTCACTTGACACATACCACTCTATAGGAGGGGCTTCCTTTCCTGCACACTTGTATGCCAGTGTTATAGCTTTGATGGTCCAATGTGAAAATCTCTGCTTAGAGACACACAAATAACTCCCGACACCGTCTGAAATCTCAAATTCTGTCCAAGTAAATGTGCAAAACACATAAAGGGCAGAGGGCATGTAGCCTCTGATGTTACTGGGATAAAATGCTAAATAACATTTAACATGTATGATCTTTTATACATTTGACATAATTTGTATACATTTTATCAATTCATGAATTATCTGGGAATTTAACCCAGGTAGCCAAAAGAGTAAACATAAGTTGGTGTCAAATATAAATTCCGCATTCAGTCACAGAGTGACCTAAGCCATTCTGAGCCACACCTTGCAATGAGCTCAGTGAAAGGGGAGTGGCTCGACAATATATGGAGCTCTCCCCTACGTGCCTGGCTGATACTAAAGTGGGCAAGAGAGCTGTCTTATATAAGATTCTCAAATCTACTTCCAGCAATCTGCAGATATTGTTAATAGATACATTTTAAAGGCAGAAAGGGCCTTGCCCTGCTGAAGAAGTTCCTGTCGAAATGTGTACTATTGGACATTATACTATACTTAAGACTTATATTGGATCTTTATACTGTGCTTCTTGCACCATGAAACAAATGTATTCCACTTAATTTTGTACACAGTAACGGAAGTTGTAGCGCTCTGAATAGTGTCACTGACTTTCTGCAGCAGAATTACACACCCATTCAAAAGTAAGGTTTTTAATGTTGTTGTTTTTTAAAGAAGCCTCTTATGCTCATCAAGGTTACATTTATTTGATCAAAAATGCAAAACAAGTAATATTGTCAAATATTATTACAATTTAAAATAATGGCTTTCTATTTTTATATATTTTAATATATCATTTTTTCCCGATACCCCCCCCTTTTTCCAACTTCGCTTCCTGTCTGCACTCCACTGTTGTATTATAATAAAGGCAAAAGACAAAAATGTAATCTTTTCCTCTTCACGAAATAAACATGAATTAAGGCATGAATAAAGGCATCAGAAGAATGAAAGCATCAGAAGGCATGTTGACAGAAACAGTACAGCATAATGAAACAAACTGTTTTATCACTGTTTTTAATGTTAAACGTATAAAGAATAAACGGTTGGATGCCACAGACTTTTTTGCAGAGTGGAATTTTTACAATAATTAACTTTAGTCACACAATATACCACATTTTAAAAATATTACCCCCGTGACGCCACATGTTTGTGATTTTGACCTTTATGCTCAAAATACTATGCCATTAATCTCATAATGCTATGATTTTATTCTTAAAATATTAAGACTTTTCGGCACCGATAACCTTGTGGGCAGTGCGTCGACACACAGTGCCATTGCGCTCCCGAGTTCGAATCCCAGCTTGAGGACCTTTCCCGATCCCGGCCCCTCTCTCTCCCACTTCGCTTTCTGTCAACACGGATCTTTCCTATCAAAATAAAGTGAAAAACGGCAAAAAAAAATAAAAAATATATATATATATATATATATATTAAGACTTCAATCTCATATTGCTATAACTTAATTCTCATAATTTTGACTTTAATGTCAAAATATTATGACTTTAATCTCGCAATCTTAGATTTATCTTTTTTTATTTTTTTTATTTTACGTGGCACTAAAACGCAGTTGTACCATAGGTACAGCCATCTCTCTAGACCCAAACTTTATGTATAATACCTAAGTTTGGTCATGAGGTCTTGTTGAGTTTGCCACTCATGCAAATGGCTTCATCCGTTACTGGATTCTGAAACAATTTTACATTTTAGTGAACTAGAAAGACATTGTTAGTGTACTGTTTTCAAAAATTTCATCAGATAATCTAAAATGTATTTCATTTGTTTAAAAAAAGAGCATATATTATTCTATCAAGATGAAGTGGAAATCCTTTTAAGGGTCTAATTTTGTCATTTTCAAGTCTGTAATTTTTAAGAGCTGTTATAACATGTTTTATCATCAAGAGCATAACAGGCCAACAAAGATTAAAAAAAAAGAAAAAAGTTTTATCAGGAAAATGAGTATGTCCGTCTGCCTCTGCTGTTCCTGGAAAAATCTGATTTGATCTTTTCCTTCGGTTTCTGTTTGTTCAACATGTGTCAATGTGTTTTAACATGTACAGTTGCTGTGTTATCAGGAAATGAATTTTCCCTTGAAAAAGTGTGTGTGTGTGTGCCAGGATTTTTACATTTACCATTTACAAATTGATTCTGGCCCTTTGCTGATTTTTTCACACATTAATTTTAATAATATTATTGCTCACACTTTATTCAAGAGGTATCCAGGAGAGATGTGTTATTAATTGGACAGTCAATGGCTTTCTTGTTACATGACAAAAACAGCTGACATCTATGCGAAACTCCTTCAAAAAAAAAGTCTAACACAGTGAAAGAATAAGCCTACACACAATATCCAAAGGAAAAATTGAATATTCTGTCATCATGGACCAGCTTGGGATGCTGGTGCTGTTATGTTGGTCCACAGCATGGGATGCTGGCATGCTAGATGACCAGCATATGTCGTCTTTTGGATGCTGGTATAATCCCAGCAACACCCAACAAACGGTGTGTCTACAAAAGTTGCTGAAGTCTGTTTGAAGTCACCATTAAGGTAATTAATGTGGTGATTAATGTACACATTAGATGGGCACTTGGTCCTTGACTTAAAAATACTACCAGCCACAAGTGCATGGTGTCAATATTGTCTACAACATGATGCTCCTGACTGCAATGACATGTGCTTTATTCTTTTTACTTACTTTACTATGTTTGGGGATTAGGCTGTCAGCTGGATTTTGACACGTCAAACATGTTTGAAACATATTAATCTTAGAAGAGATGTATTGAAATCATTGCATGCAATAAATGCATTAATTTTGCTCTGCATGAAAAAATATATATAAACTATATATACTATATATATATAATATATATATGTCACTGACCTAATTATAAATGTGAAAATACATTGTAAGATTAATACATGGTGCTCAAACACGTTTAAAAACAGAGCGGTTGCATCAAGAAAGTTTCCAGTTGAAAGCGAGTCTATTAGTGCAGCTGGCCTCTTTATTTCCCTCTCATGCATGCTCAGATTCCATACAGTCAGACATTTCCGTACATTTCCGTGAATGTTTCCAGGCCCAGACAGAGGCCCATTTGTATGCAGTAAGATCAGAACTGTGTCCCGTTTAACCATTTAACTGTGTGTATGTGTGCGTATGTGTGCGTGTCTGACTGAGGTCAGAACTAATTAAAAGTATTGCAGCATTCCTGTCAGTTTAGAGACATGTTTATGGATTGAATTATTTGTTTGAATTTTCTACATAAGGGTATACAGCAGCCGCTTTACATAAACAATTGAAACTCCAAGGAATGTATCATTCATAATTCCTGACCATCCATATGCAACGCAGATGAAATGAAACTGCACATATGCTCGCATTTGGCTTACATTTGACTAAAGACGTACTTCTACTGTTCTCAAACATGGCAGGATTATTAAGGGGTGAACAATGTTCCAGCTTGAATTCAATGTGTGGTCACAGTTGTGTGTATGGCTTTAAATGTGGTTCATTCAATCAGAATCTGACTCACTTGATCAACCAAAACAACACTGTTCTCTCATAGGGTTAGCTAGTCTGTGACGTCTTCATAAAAACAAATGTGAGTAAAAGCCGACATTAAATCTGTTCATTATATAAATGCATGTCTCTTCATAAGACTTGGATTAAACTGCTTGATTCACATGGATTTCTTTTCTTTTTTTATCTCATTACAAGTTTTGGGTGAATAAACTTTTAATAGCGGAACAAATCTCTCATTTCATTAAAATTATCTTCACTTTGTGTTCCTTAGATGAACGAACGTCTTACAGTTTTGCAATGACATGAGGGTGAGTAACTGATGACCGAATTTTCATTTTAGATGAACTAACCCAAACGAATGAGAATGTTTTCATTTGTCTCATTTCACAGCAGGCTCTTTTTTTAAATTAATCCCAACATGATGCCAGTTTAGCAATAATAGTTTTGCCATATGCTAGTTATAATAATATAATAATATATAATAATAATTATTATATA